GGTAAATGTCAGATTTGCGACATTTTCTGATATGATATTCAGATTCTACGTTGATAATAATGCTTATAGAACCCTCTTGCTATTGTGTCAAAATTGCGAAACCGATAGCAAAAATATCTCGCAATATCAAAATTGAGATATTGAGTGAATTATGCATTATAGAGATTAAAAATCTGATTTGTGAGTACAGTATACATTGTGCGTCGCCTGTAGCCTACAGCTACAGTCACCGACACAATGAAAAAAGTGACAGAAAACTGACACCATACGGGCGCGCATATGTACGCATATATGTGTAAAAATAAACGTTCATATGTAAACTAACCTTTATTCACTAGCAGGAGCTTTGTTGTTCGCTTCCATTAAAATGTAAACTTTACGTGTCAAAAAAATTCTGTCACGTAAACTATTTATGTTGAGATTGAGTACCAGACTCTAATATAAGTTCAACCATTATATTAGAGTCTTTAGGAATTTCATATGGTTCTTTTACATAATATTCCTTTTTTTGACCATCAGTTGATTCTTCAACTCTTTTGAATGAAAAGCGCTTATAAAACTCAAACACGAGTGCATCTTTATAACCAGTGATATCGTAAAATTTTGGTGGCACAAGCTGTTCATTCACATTACATATAAATTGTTTGTTATCATGAGCAATATTACTCAACGTTACTAAAGGCTCAAGGAGAGGATTTATTCTTATCTGATAACCGACAAATTTATATGTTGGTTTGCCCTTTCGCTCAAGGATAAACCTGATATTCGCTATAGTTATGAAAAGCTCATCAAAGTACTTATATGTTTTTTTATCTTTATCATTTTCGTCAGTGAAATCTGCTATGGTAAAACTATAATATACATGCATTCGCGAGATATATTTTTTTTCCCATAAGTCTAAAAATTTTGCTTTCGATGGAATTACTTTTTGCGTGAATGTTCTACCATGGTCATCTTCCCAAACAAGCTCTGGTTTTCTTGATGTTGTGTCTGTTTCAGTGGTTTCTAATAACGCAGTGATGAAATCCAACACATCTCCTAGGGACATGTCATATTTATAATTCAAGGCATTTTTTTCTATACTACTGTATGAAGGTAATGTTATGATTGGTGATGTACCTTTTCTTAATACATTCAATTTATTTTCATTTGAATCATAGTAACAATCAACAAATTCTCTACTTGCCTCAGTCATTTTTTCCATAAGACCTTCATTCAACTCCTGTGTAGTCATGTTGGGTTTTATGTAATATCTCATGTCAAACCTTTTTTTCACTGATTTTGATGAATCTGTCATTTCTAATGGAATAGCAAGAAACTCAAAGTCTGGATGCTCAAGACTTATCTTTCTTATCTCAAGAGCTTTTGACGCAGGATATTCAATGAAGTCTCTCGGTAATTTATATGAGACTGTATTACCACTTATCGTGCCATCATTCATAACATGTTCATAGTATAATCCATCATATTTAGACATTTTATATGTAACTAAAAGATGGAGAAAGTTATTAATCAAGTAGATAAGATTCTTCATGATGGAGCACGTAAGAATAGTAAAGAACTAAACAATGCACTCATTATGCCATTTTCTGATGATTATCCATTTTGTACTAATGGTGTTTATTTCTACTGCGGTAAGATGGGTTCAGGTAAGACATATGGTGTTATTCGTCATATAATGATAACAGACCGCTTCACTAATACTCCATATTATGACTCAATAGTTATCTCAGCAACATCAGGAACAATGGATAAAACAGCGAAGACATTTATGAGTCAAGTTAAAGCACCAGTACTGAAAAAGGATGATAAAGAACTTATGCCTTATTTAATGAAGAACGTTAAGATGAAAGCAAAGTATTACGCTATTGTTGAGTTCGTTCAAAGTAAGTTCGAAAAAATTTCAGAGGAGATGGAACACATCTTAACAAAGCATCAACTAAGGAAACCTGATGGAAAGTTTGAGTATAAGAAGATTGCAATATATGTTGTAAAGAAGTTGAACAAATATCCTTTCACAAAGTATCCCAGTAATTCTCTATTAGTGTTAGACGATTATGGTGGTCATGACTTATTGAATGACCCACGTTCACCATTAGCGAACTTCATCACTAAGGTCAGACATTATAACTATACTGTTGTCATCATGTGTCAAACATGGAGACATATATGTTTAAACATTAAGAGACTATGCACTGACTTCGTTATCTTTCAAGGTTATTCTATGAGAGACTTTCAGTCAATGATTGAACAGTCAGGAGCAACAGAAGATTGGGAAGAGTTATGGAACAAATACAAAGAGCTACCAACACCTCGTTCATATATGGAAGTTCATATAGTTGCAGGAAAGACGGACTTTAAAGAAGTTAAGCAACAAAAGATGACATTATTTTAAGAAGAAATAAATGGGTTTTGGCGATTATGTTAAAGCTGGATGGGGTATGGTGAAAAAAAATCCTGGTCTTGTAATAGGTGCTGGATTTAACATTGCTAACAAACTTTTCCCTCAAGTTGGTCAAGTCGGTGGTGTTATCGGTAGTCTTGGTGAAAGAATTGCAAAAACTACATTAGGTGAAGATAATGCATTAACGAAGAATCTTAAAGCATTCAATAAAGCTCTTGGTGGTGACTTCAGTAGAGACAAGCCTGTTGAAACACCTATAGTTCAACCTCAACAAACTATTGACAACAATAAGTATAACGCATACATTGGAGGAGCTATTTGGAACAATCATAAGCCATTAGTTCAGTCAGTACGTGTACTATCAGACATGCCATGGATTAATGCTATTAGTGGCACTATACGCAGATAATATATTTTTATGAGGTTTAAATGAGTGAACAAGAGAGGAAACTCATTGATGAACGAGTTAAGAAATGGGAGAATGAACGTCCGATAATTCGTACCATAATTAGCGATCAAAAGTTCAAGCAGCATACATTTGATTTTTTGCGCGATATATATAATGATCTTGCTTTTGATTACAATGCTAGGCAATACTTTGAGAAAGAATATGTTCAAAAAGGTCGTATTAATTTCCCAATGAGAAGAGAAGGCTTTTTGATTACATCAACATATACAGCACGTGGTAGAGACCCTTTTACAGACGCGGTTCGTAACTTTAAAGCACGTTCTTCTATTAATGATGATCCAGATTTCTACATACCTTATTTTTCGTCCACCTTC